TATTCTCTTTTAAAAAGGCAAATTCTAGAAATGTAAACTTTGCGTCATTCCTACCACAGTGTGAATTAGTTTAGTTAGATTGCTTTTTTCCTAATACATAACAGATTAACTGAGTAGAAGGGAAGAAAAATTTTGATTTTTGGGTTGGCAGTTACTCAAGATGGGGTTTATGACAGCATAAGAACATTAGGTTTCTGAAATCTTGCTTCTGACAGTTGTTACCTTGAGCAGCACATTTAATTTCTGTGCCTCATTTTCCTCATCCAAGAGATGTTTGGGCTGTATGATCTTTAAGGTCCTTTCAGATTCTAAATCTTATCGTTCTGTGTAGTAACAGTAAATAGAAAGGGAGGTGGAAGGGTCTTAAAAGCAAATTTGGATTATTTTGAAATTCTATTGCAGGAAAGGCAGAACAGGAAAGTAAATATTTATGGCCACAGCTTCCTCCCCACCTCCACCTCCACTCCTGCTTTTGTTACTTCTCCATAGTTCCTTTTGTAGCTCCAAGGTTCCTTCCACATCCAGTACCCCTGGGCCCCATCTCTTCAAATCTCTCCCATTTCACCTCCTCCATCACCCCAAAGGTTTAATTGCTATTCAATGAAATGTACAGGCGATTGAGTGTTCCTTTCAAATGTAGGTGAATGTTACTTTAGTAGTTTTCGTAACCAAAGACCCATCATTTTCATCTTTATGTCTTTTCCTTTGGGTGCTTTTTTTTTTAAAGTTAAGGTGTAGGTGAAAGGAGGGATGGCTGCATTGAAAGGAAGACTTTCAACCACCTGTTTCTCATTGTTTCTAGAAGTAAAAATCCTCAGAAATCCTTAAAGGATAGAGGGGAGAGAAGCTGTCAAAATACATTCTGTCCTGTAATAGGTAAGGGAGTGGGTGAAGAAACCTGGGTCAGAAGTAACAGGTGGTGACAGCATAAGAAGAAGGCAGCAGGTTAACCCTTGAGTTACTCAGAAGAAAAGAGGAGTACCATGAAAGATTACGCTGACATTTTTCCTAGGAGGATCAAACTGGTAAGGAGACACAATGCCCTTCCTCCTCCCGATTGGGTTGATACCCTTTACGATAGAGGTTTTAACCATTTTTCCTATTGTGGATCCCTTTGGTAAAGCCTACAGACCCCTTCTTAGAATAAAATAAAATATATGGAATTTTAAAAGGAAATAAATTTTGATATACGTGTGTGTGTGTGTGTGTGTGTGTGTGTGTGTCCTATTCGAGTTGATGCATTCCCTGAAATCTATCAAGGGTGTGAGATTCATGGACCCCAGTATAATATCATACACATAATACTATAGAATCTACACTGTGTACAATAGTTTCTATGACAAAACGTATCAAAGTTCCCCTTTGGGATGCCAAAAGCTACATCTCTGTCCACTGCAGCCCTGTCAATAGAATGAGGGGCTATTCTACCTGTTCCACCTCCTCATTAATGGGAATAGAGACACCTCTTATTTCAACAATTCACATTTCTCCAGCTCTTTAAAGGATTCTTAGATCACTGGTGGTAATTCACAAGGCCTAGGTTCTAGATGAGCAGTCCCTGGGGAGAAGCAGGCATGAGGGTTCTCATTTAGAGTCAGCGTAAGCATTTATTGATAGCCTGCTGTGTGCCTGGCACCATGCTGGGAAATGATGATCCAAAGACAAAAAAATGAAAGTCTGTCCCCTCAAGGAGCTTATATTCAGTGAAGTTCTGAACAGTCATTTCAGAAACAGTCTTCTAGAGCACATCTCACATTGGTGTTAAAGACTGCCTATGTGGACATGTGTAAGTCAGCAGGTGTCTGTGCTAGGAAGCTTCTTGCTTGGGTACCACGTCAACTTTTCCTTAATTTTTTTTTAATGACAGTGTTTTCTCTTATTTCTCTTTCTAAGAAAAACTTTTCTGTCTGTACTTTTAAAATATTGACATTTAGAAACAGCAATGAAAACTGTTGATTTATAGTAGTATAAGAAAATCTATACCAGTTATTATGTGTTTTTGACCTATTTAGCTCTTTGTGTGTGGGTATAGGGGAGGGGGTGGAGGTATGTGGCATGTCTTTTATTTCATACAGTACAAGAATTAGCAGAATCACTACCATGGAATTGATGTTTGGGGATTATCTTTCCAAAACAATGAATTAGAGTTGCTATTGGAAAATTAAACCATTATAGATAATGTAACCTTTTTTTTAAAGTAGGAAACCCATTCAAAGGAAATCTAGTTAGTATGTCCCAAGATAGAGGGATAAAATAACAAATGAGTGGGATAAATGTATGAACAGACATAGAAGCTATTAATGTAGTTAGGGATGGACTTTCAAATCCACTGTAGCAGTTTGGGGACTTAAAGGATGTTTCACAAAGGAATCAGACCAGCCAGTCCTTATATGTAATGATACGTTTTAGCTATATAATGATATATAATGACCTATGTAACTATCTAATGACAAGTTTTAGCTCTCACAAGGGAAAGTTTAAAGCTTGATAAGACAGTCAGGGAGAGATAAGGATGGGGCAGCAATGTGTACACTATGTAGCAGGGCATCTCACACTCCCGCATCAGAACAAGAGAAAGGAAGCCATATAGTCATTTACCAACCAGGCAAAAATGTTGGATTTTAGAGGGAAGAAGAGGAACAGGAACAGGAGTATGATGGTAAATGTTTAATAACCAGCTCCTCCCAATAACTAAAAGTGAATGATGCACTTTAAGTTTAATCTATAATAGTAGCATTTTCTCCAATACTTTGTTAAGTCTAGACAATGAACAAGACAATAAATTAAGCCCTGATTGTAGTGTTTGCTGCAAGTTTCAGAGGTGTAAATGCTCATAATGAAAATTTAATAATTTACCAGTAGTTGGTTCCAACACATCCCTGGGTAGGAGTCGTGCTCAGGAAAGACTGATTGATTTTCCATCTCTGATATTACAGGAAGGAATATGCCAGGGATTAGCCCCCCCAAAAAGCATTAACTATGAAATGTTCCATCAGTTTTCAGAAAAGATCAAGGAAAAAAACACATTTAAATCTGAAACAGTCTGCCACAATTGAGATTTGGCCTAAAAAGCCAGAAGGGTTTTTTGAGCTACCATAGCCATATTTAATAACTGTAGCTCATATTTCCATTACACTTTCCCCAAGACAACCCCGACAGAGGGTGCTCAGATACTCAAATGGATCTGTGATCTCATTATTTGGAGGGCTCCTTCCAACAAGACACTGTAATCTATCCATGCCTCCCTGTGATTTTTGTCCAAGTATTCCCAAAAGTTTGCCACAGAGGAATACAACCAACATGTTAAAATCCTTCCATGATTTCTTTCAATATCACAAAGGTATCAGCGTATGGGGTGTTCAAGAAGGACTAGTACCTGTTTCAGGGCTGCTCATCCAACTTTGGAGTCTATCTGTCACCCAGCTCTCACTTGTGGCTCCAAGAAGTTGTAGCATGTGCAGAGGCCACACTCCAGTAAAGCCATCTTTAACCGGCTGAGGGTAACAGACAGGACTCAAACATGTTGGTGAATAAGAGAGATGCCTACCCCTCCCCCACACCCCACCCCCAGCATCTGGCAGAATGGGCGAATGAGAACAATTTGTTCCAGTGGCCATGAAAGTTGCTGAAGCAGGCACTGTGGAGCACTTAGAGCCTGGTCAATCATCAAAGTCACCAAGGTCACCCTCTGCACCCCCAGGCATTACCAGTCATCCTGACTTTTGTCTTGCCACTGGACTTCAATGACTCTGGAAGACAGAGTGAGGCTGATGACTCAGTGCAACTTTGCCTCACTTAAATCCAATTCATGCTCAAGTCGACACTACCCTGTGATGTCATTGGTCCTCTTCAGCAATGAAGGATGAACAACTACAATCCTTGACATTAAGGATGAACAGCATCGGTGGATCACTGTGGCTGTCTGTTATGTATCACTCACTGAGCAGCCCATCATATTTTATGGTCATCCAGTTAATTCTTTAACGAGTCATTTACTGTTATTCTTCAGAGTTCCTCATTGGTCATGGGTCGTAGTTGGGTCATATTCACCATGTACCTTCCTGTTGCCCTCTGTTTGATACACGTCTTTAGTTCTTTGGAGGCAGTGCTGTCCCACAGGTCACTTCCATATAACAATACTGATAAAACATTGGTGTTGGGAAGATGAGCCTTTGCTTTCACAGAAAGCTTGGGGTCAGTAAAATGTGCTCAGCAGTTTCTCAAAAGCAATCTGACAGAGCAACTAGGTGGCACAGTGAATAGAGCACTGGCCCTGGAGTCAGGAGGACCTGATTTCAAATCCAGATTTACTAGCTGTGTGGCCATGGGCAAGTCACTTTATCCTGATTGCCTGCTTCTCCCCTACCCCCTCTCCAAAAAAAAAAAAAGCAATCTCACCCTTGCTTCATTTTCTTTTCCATTCTAGACCTACCTGGCTCATTGCCCATCTACATTGTCCTGGACCTGCATACTATTGGACAAGCTCTATAGGGAGCCTATCCAAAAGCATGTTGAAACCTGGGCAGTAAATATTCTTCATTCACTTGCTGGGTAGACAGGTAGTACAAATATTATTATCCCCATTTCACAGATTAGAAGCTAAGTCTAAGAAGGGGAAATGACTTGCCCATGGATACACAGTTAAGTGTGAGAGCTAGGAATCAAACCCAGGACTGCTGACTCTGAAGTCCCCCCACTCTCAGTTGCCCAGTATTGCTTCTAAAATATTAATTATTGATATAGCATTTGGTTTTTGAAACTTCAGTGTTTATTTCTTTGACTATCTCAATATTAATATACGTACATATAGCTCTATGAATATAAGAAAATGTTTCTGTTTTTGTCCTTTAATGTTCCTACTTAAATTCCAAAAGTAACCATAGTTTTCTTTAATGTTGCTGTTAACTCTGTCAGAGTTTCAATCACTTTTTCCCATGTAGCATTTATCAGTTCCGCACATTCAGGATTGTGACAGATTTTTTCTTGTGTTTTTACTCCAGATGATGCCTTCCTTCTATTACAGATGAATACAATGTGAACTTGGCAAAGAGGCTTCCAGGTAATTAAGCAGCATTTTCTTTAAGGCTGGCTGGCTTTTAACCTAATTTTATATGCTGATATCAATAATTGATGCTGAGACATTGACCTGGGCTAGGTTGAGTTTTTTGTGATTAGAGGCAGTTCTAAAAGTCTTTGTGCAGTTTTAAACTTTAATAAAACTTTAATAGATTAAAATTACACTAAGACTTTAGGAATATCTTCTACAGGGAAAGTACTGCTCCTTATTCTCAACTAAATCATAAGTGTATCAAGAAAAATGGCACATGGCTTGAGATATCTCCGTTATACTTGTAGTAGGGGGGAAAAGTTCATTTCAAGGAAAAAAAAGTTCCCCAGCTTTTATAAACCAGAATTGGGTAAATGCATCTTCCAAAACTAAGGATCTTTTGCAGCTGCTTTAGGGCTCAGCTTCTCTAAGCCTATAATCTATTACTCTACAATCCATGCTTTTGTTCCAGCTCTGAGCCAGTAAATTTTCTAAATGCTCCATGATTTTTTTCCTGGTAGCCCCTGTGTCACTGGTAAGGGGTAGTGGGTGATGCAACAGAGGCAGCTGGTGCTGCAGTGCATAGAGTGTTGGGCCTGGAGTCAAGAAGACCAGAGCTCAGTTCTGACCTCAGACATTTAATAGCTATTTGCCTTTGGGCAAGTCATTTAACTTCTTTTTGCCTTAGGTAATAAGAGCAGTTACCTCCCAGGGTTGATGTGAGTACCAAATGAGATATATTGGTAAAAATTAGTTATCACAGTGCCTGGCACATAGTAAACATTATATAAATGTTAGCTGCAGTTGGTTTTATCATCATTATATTATTTATCAAGCCCTTATCATGTACTAGATCATTGTTAAGCACTGGGGACATAAAGAAAAGCAAAAAACACAATCCTCGTCCTCTCAATTTTGCTTCTTGGGAAAACTTGGAGTTACTGAAAATGATACAAGTATCTCTTTCCCCAGAAAGGTATTGATATGTCACCAATTGGCTACAAAATTAAAGGGGAATTTTGAGGGAGTTTTGTGGAAGCTGTGGAGGACACTCAAAGGCCAGGAGATGACACAAAAAAAAGTTTAGAAACTCAGAAATGCATAAGATATGTATTGTATAATATCAACACCCCCTAAAATAAAAAGAAAAAAATTCAAACTTCTCTGACATGAAGGGAGGGCCAAAAAATTTTAGGCGAATTTTCCATGAGGTGGGAGGGCACTGTGTCCTTAACCCCCACAATGCAGAAGGGATAACTGCTGTTTGCTTAGATATAGCTTATAGTAGACATTTCTGTAAGATTCAACTTTCTTTTTTTTCATGCAGTGAAATGCAGATTTTCTGTTAGGGAGGAGCTTGGCTTGGTGACAAATTACTTCTCCCCTCCCCCTCCCCCACCCCATTCCTCAGGGGGCAAGGATGATATTTATTTTCCAGAATCCTTTGGAAAATGAAGGATGAATAAGATCTATTCTACTGTTAGGACCTGTACTGTACTAACAAACATTTATCAATTAATGGCCTCACTTTTGTCAATATCTTCTTAGTAAGCCTTTCAGTTTTGTTACTCAAAACTCTTATTTCAACTGGAAAACAAAAATGTCCACTTAAAATTGGCCTGTCTCCAGCTACTTTGAAAGCACTGAGAAATGGATTAGTATTCCAGGGAGTTTCTCTCTCAAGTACTCCAAAGACTTAACTTGAGCTTGTGAGATCAGATAAGACTTTCTCAAACAGCTATGCACCTTGACTTTGGTTAATATGCACACGATAAAGCACTGTGGGAGTGCTTGGGGGATCGTAGCAGGTTGGCAGTTTCTTTGAAAGGTGGAAGACAAGGCCTGGGAAGGTGTGTGTCAGCTCTGTCATTTTACATAGTACTTTCAAACAGAGTTCCTCTGCCTTTCCCTCGTAGAGCCTCTGCATTTTCCTTTTTCTTTTGAGAGCAGCCTCATAACATGCAAAACAAACTCTGGCCAACATTGTTAGGCTTGGTTAAATTGTGGGAATGTTTTTATTCAGGCAAATGCACTTTGCCCTCTAAACGAAATTATGAAACCACTGTTTTGAGAAAGATTTTGAAGGTCACAATGTAATGTAATGTATGGTTTTGGGAATGTGACAATTCCCTCAACTAAGTTAAAGGAGAATAAGATTTTAGACAGGGAAGATTAAGCAGTGAAACAGCAACTGCTTACTCTAATAGGTTAGCTGTAGAAAGAAATGAATTCAGTTCTTGTAACTTGGCTTATACTTGTTTTTAAAGCCTGTGTTAAATGACTGAGTCTTCATTGTTAGATACACAAGTTGGGAATGGAGTGTATATTCAAATAATGTTGCTAGCAGACCAGGATCATTGAAAAAAATACAGTTTGAAAATACATGTATACTTATATTGGTTATACAGTTATCACATTTGACTAGCCCGATTTAATTCTGATGTGTATCAAGTCTGATTTGGACTAACACATGTATGGTTTCCTTCCCTTCAGTAGCCTGAAAAATCACAGTGTATATAGTAGGGAGAGAGGGTGGGTTGTTATTGGATGGGAGCAGGAGAGGTCTAATAAAATGAATTGAAAACATTGGACAAGGAAGAGGCTAAGATGGGGTTGATTCCTTCAGCATGATAGATGTTCGTATTCCAGCATCACAACAAAGGCCTCTATAAGGATCTCTTCCTGTATTGAGTGGGAGATTGAACTTGACCTCCAAGGTCCCTGTTAACTCTCTGTGATAGGGTCTATTGACACATTCTCAAAGAGGCTAACTGATGTCTCTTTGAAGATTTTTAGGACCTGTAGCTACTAATGTGGGGTACTCTTTCTATCTTCAAAGTTAATTATAATCACGGATATACCAAGCAAATTGCATCAAACTCTACAATATTATTTGGCCTGACCTTTTAAAAATTCTTTTACATTTTAAATTTTTGTTACATTTTGAATTCCAATCTGTCTCCCTTCCTCCTTCCCTCCAAACCCACACTAGAGAAGGCTAGCATTTGGCACAGATGTAGATGTGAAACCGTACGGTATACACATCCATATCAGTCACCACCTCCTATGGGAAACTGTTCTGACCTGACTTCCTCTAGTCAGACTTCCATCTCCTAAGTTATTTATTTATTTATTTTGCGAGGCAGTTGGGGTTTAGTGACTTGCCCAGGGTCACACAGCTAGTAAGTGTTATGTGTCTGAGGCTGGATTTGAACTCAGGTCCTCCTGAGTGCTCTATTTACTGCGCCACCTAGCTGCCCCCCTAAGTTATCTTGAATATATGTTCCTTGAAGGCAGAGACTGTTTTTCATTTTCTTTTTGTATCCCAAGCACCTAATAATGCCTTGAACACTGTTGCTGTTGAGTTGTTTCAGTAGTGTCCGACTTCATGATCCCATTTTGGTTTTGTTGTTGTTGTTGTTGTTTTGGCAGAGATACTGGAGCTCTTTACCATTTCCTTCTCCAGCTCATTTTACAGATGAGGAAACTGAGGCAAACAGGGTTAAGTGACTTGCCCAGAGTCACACAACTAGTAAGTAGCTGAGGCTAGATTTGAACTCAGGAAGATGAGTCTTCCTCTAGGCCAGTCACTCTGTGCACTATGGTGCCACTTAGCTGCCAAGAGTGATGTCATGAGATCATGATTATGATCTCATCTTCAAAAAAGAGGTGGAAAGGGAAGAATATGGATGCAGAAAGAGTAATTTGGAGGGCACCGGTGGGTTTTCTATTGTCTTACGCTCTTATTGTGTAGCGTCCTTTCGTTGCTACTACTTATCAAAAAATAGATACAAAACTGTAAGATTTCAGGGGCTTCTGCAATTAGGCTATAACATGTTAATTATACTTCCAAACCTTTAATGACTCCATTCTGCGTAAACTTGGTTCCCAGAAATAAAAGACTAGTTAACTCTCTCCAGTTATTCTCAGCACTAGATTTACTCCAAGAATACTGGCTCCATGATGAATCCAGACTGTGTGTATGTTACGTGCACCCATTTAAAAGATTTACAAACCTCAAATGTTCAAGACCCGAGTGACCCACACCTATTAAACTGCATCATCTAATTGCTTTTCCGGATTTGAAAGGAAGGAGTACATCTGGCATGAATTTTCACATTCTTTTTACAGAGAAAATCTTGTAAAATAGGGCACTGTCCTTTAATTAAACCTGCCCTCTGAGTTGTTAAGAAATTCTTTTTTCCTCTGCAGGAGTAACTCTTTCCTCTTGGGATCTCAGTGTACTCTTTCAGGCACATTCTTGCTTGCCCTTTGAGGTCACAGTTCTACTAAATTCAGCTGCTTATCCTCCCTTATCCTGCCTTTAAACAGCCTGCCTTTTGTTTGTCCCTTTAGGCAGAAGGACCAACTTTGTGTAAATCTAGAGAAGTCTACCTTCTGTTATTCTGTATTCCCTTCTCTGTTAGCAGTTTTTTTTTATATAGGAAGAAATGTTGTATGTTTCTAGCAATCAGAGATTAAAAAAAAATTTAGCTCAACTCCTCTGGTTTCAGAGATTGCTTTTGCTTTCATCTTAACTTTCTGAAAATTTGGTTCAATTCAATAAGCATTTTTTAAGCACCTACTGTTTGCAGAACGTTGAGCTATGTGCTAGATATACAAGGTATAAAATGAAATAGTCCCTGTCTCAAGAAGCATAATAACAACACTCAGTGGTTTTTCTGAGTTTCTGTGGCATGTTTATTATTTAACCCAGAGTCGTTCCTATTAAACAAAGAACCTAGAAAAGTTAATTTCAATTACTTTAAAGTAATTCAAAGTATGAAAAATTTTTTCCTACTTAATTGTGGCTATTTCCTTGAGCAGTGCCTACAAAAAGGCATAGTGACTAGATTTGGGGTAAGGAAGGCCCCGGGTCAAATCTTGTCTCTGGTACTTACTAGCTGTGTTACAATGGGCAAGTCATGACACCTCTCAGTTTCAGTTTTTCCACCTGTAAAATGAGAGTAATGGTACTTGCAACACCTACTCTATGAGATTATTGTGAGGCT